CTAAATTTTTAAATAAGAAAATATTCCTTTTATAATCACAATAATATATAAAAATATAACACATCAATTTTTAGTCTCATCTTTTAATGAATGTAAAAAAATCATTTTTTATATAATCACATCAAATTATATTACTTTATATAATCATAATAAATCATATCTATATTAATTTTATTATACAAATAGTATCTTAAATATCTAAAATAAAAAGAGTATGATTTCTGTCAATACCACTTCATTTCTTATAAAACAATTACATCCTTTGAAAGATTTAGCAATCTTATCTTAGTTGGTAACAACTGAGACCCTACTGAGATATATCTTAGTTCAACCCTTAGTCATAACAGATTATAATTATGTTTATAGGATTTACCAGTTCGATTCTAAGAATAAATTTCATAAGATATGTACAAATTATATATGTGATAGATTTGGATTTGTAGAATATGATAACCTTGACTAGGAATAACCTGTGATAGGTCAAACTTAGACAAAAAAGGGAGACGTTATCTGTAGGGGTTAATGTCACATTATCTGCAATATAAAACCTGATAGGATAGTATATAATGGTAGATGTTGTGTAATGGTTACTCATTGTAAAATTTGTTATCTTAAAAGGATGGATGATAACGATTACAAGTAGTTGATATTGCACTATTTTCAGCTATAATATGGGTGGTATGCTATTAAAATTAAGGTATGAGACATAATAAATCATATAATCTATACCTTAATTTTAATAGCATATCACTCATATGTCTATATAGTATAGCAAAGTTTGTTTCCAGAAAGATTCTAATTCTTTGTTTTAGTGAGGCTTACCTCCAGAATGATTCTTTTAAGCATCATAAGGGAATATAATATTATCTTTCTATGATATCTAGGTCTTATGCTAGAGGTAAAGCCCAGGTTTGATTTCTAGATTACTTTGATGATATGGATATGAAGTTACTATAGTTATATATATCTATAAGATATGGTAACTCCTGCAGCATAAGCTACATAAGGTCACTTCATATCAAGCCAAACTATTTAATTATATATGAAGGGTTATACCCAGGGTTGGGAAGTACAGTGTTAGTACAATGATTAGTACAGTTAGTACAGTTAGTACATTATAATAATTAATATAAAAATTAGTACAAGTACAGTACAAGTACAGTGGTAATTTTATCTAGTACATACAAAATTCCCAACCCTGCCAATACCAACAATATAGAATTTACAATGTAAACGAATTAGGAACAAGAAGAAAGCAGTTACCATTAAATCATGACATCACCATTAAATTAAAGCATCACCATCCACCGTTAGACTATGAAATCACCACTATAATATACAGAAAATAATTGAAACAATAATATAAACGTAAAGAAGCTATCCATATGTAGGTTATGAAGTTACTATCAGATTATGAATAGTAGGTTATGAAGTTACCACCAGATCATGAAATTAGATTATGAAATTACTACCATATTATGAAATTACCAATAGACTATGAAGTTACCATTATGTTATGAAGTTACTAGTAGATTATAAAGTTACCTAAGTTACCTCCATAACCCAATCTAAGCTGAAAAAATATTAAATCATATAATATATTAATATTATATGGTTTAATATTTTTTCAGCTAGATGATGAAAGAAATAGTGATATAGAAATTGATGGTAAAGTAGATGATAAAGTTGATTTAGCAGGTTTAATATTATATTCTAATTTTAAAAAAAAAGCTTATTTTAGTGTTGTATGAAAATTTTTGATGATAATCTATCAGGAAAAAATAAAATATGGGTTTGTAATAAATACAAATAAGAATTTTCAAAAGAGATTGAAATTTCTATTTTAAGATACATTTAAATACACATTTAATTAATATGCTAAAAAGCAAAGAACTTTATATGAATATCAAAATAACTTACATTCTCAAATTAAATAGGAACATAATGATAATATTATACAAAATTGGCTAATTTGTGATTTCAAATCATACAATATATGTAGTAAAGCAGAAAAATAGCATAAAATAATTTCAACTTTTGTAGATTTCATAATCAATATATTATATATAATCAAATAATCAAATAATATTAAGATTTAAAGAAAGTAAAAGTTGTAATTGAATAAATTCCAGAAATAGTATTTTTATAGCAGATATATGAATAGCTTGAAATAACGCTGCATTTTTTAGTCTAACTATTAATTATAATAATAAAAATTAGAAATTAAATAATTTTTTACTTGATATTATTCCAATATCAGTTTTAACATATTGGAGTAAATATGTTTAAAGCTATTATGCAAGTTTTAAATAAATATCAGCTTAATAAAAAAACTTTAGCTTTAATAACAAACAATGTATCAGCAATGATAGTTTATAGAAGAATTATAGTTAATAAATTGGAAGAGAGATTTGAAAATCTTTATTTTTCATACTATTGATGTGTAGCATATATTTTAAATCTTACTTACAAGAAGGATTTCAATTAATTGATATTACAGTAATAAAAGTATGAAGTTTAATAGTATTGTTGTGATTAGTTCTTTAAATTTTATATTTATAAATGAATGTAATAGTAGAAGGATTTTTAATTATGTAATAATAAAGCAATAATTACTAAATAAAATTAAAAATATCAATACTGCCTCAAAGTTAGCATTCTGTACTCTTCAAAATTAATTTTTATTAAATATCAATTATTATAAAATTATTACAGCTAAATAAAAATCTATATAAAGAAAATATCAGAGAATTTTTATATTATTTTAGATATCATTTAAGTAAATTGTCTCAAACATCAATTTCACCTTTTTATACATTAATTTTAAAGATACAATTTGCCTAGAAGATAAGTTGACTAGAGATCATTTTTAACTAGTGGTCAATTTAGCCTATGCTGATCTTTAAATCTCAGATCAGTTCATGCAAATTATTAACTTTATTAAGCAAACAATATGATTGGGATCACTAATACTAATGATTTATTAATTTTATTAAAAATAATTAATATATCATATGTGTAATGATTAACTATTTATTGTAACATATGCTTTATTTAATTCATGAGCACCTGCGAGTTTATTAACTGATCTAACTCCTATTGCTTCAGCTGTCTTACCTCAGGAATCAGTTTTTCATAAAAATTTCTTTCAACATGCTAGACAAATATGTCGGCCTTATATATGTTATAACATATAAACTTAAAACACCTTTTAACAAAAATAAACTATAGACTCGTTTGACTACCTGCTTCATTTCTTTATATTATCATGCAGTGAAATTTTAGAGGAGATAATTTTTGTTGCTAGTCATCTATCCTCTAGATGTTAGTAATTCCCAAGATAAAAATATGTTTCCAGGTGATAAATATTAGATCTAGTTCAAAAATCTTTTTTTTTAGGTGTCCAACAATCGCATGTCTTCTGGTTGTGTTATATAATCAGAAAAAGTCATTATTTATGAAGGAATTTGATCAAGATCTTCCTTGCATTTTTCAAGAATCGATTCACTAGACGTTTCCTCTACCAATGATTGAATTTTTGTCTATCAGTCCTTATGATAATAACAGCGGAAGTAGAAATCTCCAATTTTTCATTACTATCAGCTTCATGTAATTATGTTTTCAAGAATCGGCAAAAATTCACTTTTAATTCTTTGGAGTAATATTCCATTGTTCAGAGAGGGTAAATTTTTATTCTTTATGGTTATATTTATATTTTTTGGGATAATAGATTTCGTGACTATCAGGATCTTCCCTTTTTAGTTTACAAGGCATTTTATGATCTTAATAGTACAACTTTAATCTATCACCATTCACAGGGACTTTCAATATTTTATCATCAGGGGTTCGTAATTTATATGCTTCACTAGAGAGAACTTCATGTATATCGTATGGTCCCTTCCATCGTTCCTCTAGTTTCTTTCATTTATGTATGCCACTTATGATCTACATGTTTGATTTATATAGCACAGATTCTTTTCGGAGAAAATTGTAGAATTAATTTAAACAACATAATTTTCATTTAGCAGGTATTCTAACAGGATTAATAGTATAAGTTAACCACTTAATATATCAATAAACAAAAGCTTTAGATAATCTATTTACGGGAGGTTATTTTAGACCAAATTAACTTTTAATCAAAAGATATGCTATTTCAAAAAAGTTTAGATGATTCAAAAGATGATATGAATTTATGATAATTTAGATGATATTATTGAAATTATTAACAATTAAATAAATTTTTTGTAAATTTGATTTTAAAATCCGATTTTTGATTGTTATAAAGGAATGGGGTGTTTATTTTTAGTTTATGATAAAAGCTAGTGTTTAATTTCAACGTTTTACGGTAATTTTTACAAATAAAACAAAAACTTTTTTAAAATCTTTTTTTAAATTATTACAAAATAAGCAAAAAAATTGATTGATATCAATAAGCCGTTTAAATTCATACTTATTTTAAATCTAATATTTTTAGAAAAAGCAAATCCATTTTATAACTTTCGTTTTGAAATTGACGGAATTAGATATTAAAAAATCATTTATTAAATAGCGAATAATATTTGTAACCTAATCTTTCGATCATTTAGACATTTTCCTCATAATTTTATCTAAATAGTAAAAATCGGGAAGTGATTTTTTTTTTTTGTACTCAATAACATGCAGGAGCTACTTTAAAGTTCTTTTCCCAAATAACGCCACGGAAAATCAACTACGGCGATACTTCTATTTCCCCTACTTTGATTAGCTATACAATGACAATAAAATTTGTTACACCACTCAAGCCTCAATAAATTGTCAACGCCGGTTCTTAAACAAGAAGTACAAAGAAGTTCCAGTAGTCGACCTAGAAGAACATACATCAATATTTATTCGGCTATTGTTATGCATATTAGATTATATTAATACTCTATATAATTAATATAACTTTAGGAAATCCTTATCTTTTTTCACCCCTCCCCCTCCCAAAATTGTAAATATTTAATTCTTTTTTTGCTATTACAATGTTAACTGAAGGTTCAATATATACTACTCAAAGCAAAGAATTTCAAGAGGTTCATTTAAAGTATCACCTGGTATTAAGTCCTGATGGACGATTGGCTGCCTCTTTTAATACTGGTAATTTCAGAAAAATCTTTTTTTTTTCTTTGAGATATTTATTTTTAACGGAATTAAAATATTCCTTATTTAGAAAATCACGAATTGATAATATACGAGACGGAAATTCAAAATATAGGAACGGAAATTTTTAATAAATCAACACCAATCAAATATAATGATTACGCAAAGTTGGATTTACCTTCCGTTAAATCGTT